CCAATACTTCTGTTAGTCTTAAAGGTGCCACAGGACCCTCTGTTGCTTTTTACAGATTCAGACTAACACGGCTACCCCTCTGATACTTAATCTTTACAATGGATTTCCTGAACTGACACCACCCTTTAGCTCTTTGATTTTATATCTATAGCTATATGAAAACACACATGGCTTGAGTTTGATATGCCATTTAGATATGTATTGCATGAGTGGTGCAGCTGCGAGTTATCACCCATAAACCCTCGTGTACGTTGCATTATATAGAATATGTTCTTATTTCTTTATTCTTTTTATTACCCACGCCCCAATAAACCCCAGTGAACAGAATATTTGTGGGAGTAAAGCGAGCAGGATGTTGGTCCACTCTCATTTTAACTGCATGGAGCAGCTGCTTTGTCATTTTGTCCTCTTTGTTGATTGTTTATATGTACGGATGGGATTGGTTAGTTCAGTTTAGACGTGCTATTGGTCCCGGTCTTTCTACACTAGTCCCAAAATATTATTTGATTGGAGGATATCAGAATCAGGTGTACTCACTTCCAGGAGCCCCAGTGAGCAGGGACCATAGTTCCAGCCTGCTGTATTTCTGACTCAGACAAACTCCGATTGAAGTCATCGCCCCAGTGAGAATGGCAGAATCATGCCTACATTCATTTCAACTAACCTGGGTTAATTAACTCCACTAAAACAAGTTGATGTTCATCAGGTGAAGCAAGCAGAGAACATCTGCTGGGTTTTATTATCGTCTTGATGACCTAATCACAGACTTTTGTAGGAGACATTGTTTAAATATAGGTAACTAAAGCTGTTAAAAAATAGTCTTTTAACTATGATCTAGCCCCATACGTACCCGTAAGAAACACAGAGAGTTATAGCTAAATGGGTAAATGTAGCTAGTTTCTATAAAAAGTGAACAGAATCACAGGGGCTATGCAATAGTGTAATTAGAGAGATGTTGCTGGTGGGATTATCCATTAATATTTCTTAGGTCCCACCACAATTATGCACCATCTCGTCACTGTTGAAACAATCGTAGTATCATTTACAATGCGATAAAACGATCAAAAACGAGTGCCTTGTTGCTTTGCAATGAGCGAGAGCTATTCGTGTCATCATTTATTTCTTCCTGTCATCATTTCAGTTACATGCACCTATAACAATCGTCTAAGATTAAATGCCCTTTTAATTAATTAATTTGAATAGGCCCCTCCTAAAGTTTAGTAATCTTTACTGTGGATTTTAGTGTGGTTAATCAACAATTTGGGACCCAGTCTTGTCCAATGGGAGTTTAGCCTGAGCCAGGCGTGCAGGATCCGTCCATTAATTGGTATTTTTCTTTCAGTAGGTACAAAATGAGCTAAGCAAATCTTACAGCATAAATTGTATAAAACTCCTGTCCGAGCTCCCTGCTTTGCAACTCTTTGGTTTTCCTTTAGCATATCCCTCTTTGCTACATTTTGGCTTTACATGTCTTCCTTCGGTGACACAAGGAAAGCAGTAAATATGTGTTTAAATGCCTCTTACCTTTACTAGACCACACTGTAACTAAAGTATTAAAGGGGGACGAGCCTTTTCCCACTGAAATCAGTGCCCGAACTCACCCTGACTTCAATGGAAACAGAACCTGGCCTTTGTTGAGCAGCGAAGACATTTTCAGGGTGGACCACTACATGAGTTGCAGTGCTTGTAAAATTTTGCATATAAACATATATCTTCTGACATTTAAAATCTGGCCTATTTAAAAGACACAGGCGGATAAAGACAACCTGAACAATAATTAGCCTCACACCCTAAATGTCTTGCTCTTTGTTTTTTTTATTTCTGAACAGAAACCACTGGTAGAAATAACGTCGAAGCGCTTTTCAAAATCAACATGTTCCCATCAACTAGCATGCAGCCAGCAGGTCGGTAACATACCTGCCCAGGTAGCCTGAAATTCACGCGGGCTGTGGTGGGGTGACAGGCCGGCCTCACTCAGCATGGGGTTGCTGGATTCGCTCTGAGTCCAGCCAGTCTCGGGAACTGGGAGGAAGTGGTCGGACTTTGGGGTGGGGTCAGATACTCCCTGCGTTGGACAGGACTTGGTGGCTATTACAGTTTGTAATGGGTGTTCGTTCGGGGTATCCAGGCAGTCCAGGACATATACCTTTAATCTGAGTAGCACTCTTGCACTAGATTTCGGGGATGTTCATTGCAGGCGGCTCGGATGGGTGGACGGGGACGACTGACAGCGGGTATTATTTTGGTCAATGTGTCCTTTCGAAGAATACGGATCGTGCGGCGGCTTTCCCTCAGTCCACTTAAACAGCTGATTTCAACGCACGCTGCTGCATCTCTCAAACCTTGCCTCGCTTTCTACTTTAATTGTAAAGTTTTGCTTCGATTTAGTGCTACTCCGGTAAAACAGGGGTTCCCAACATGAAACTCTATAGAGGTGGGAATTTTTACTTCAGTCCTCTTCCTTACAGGGGGAAAAAACCAATCAGGAATTACTGGGACTGTTGTGAGCTCTCTCTAGACTGGGGGAGGCTGGCGGGGTTGTTCTGTATGCGCCCTTTGATTTGAATGGAGACAGAGCATTCGGATTACTGGCGGATACAACCTAGCAGCACATTTTCGGAGGTGACGAAGAGATGTTAATTACATTTCCCTTCTTCAACAGCGCTAGGTGTTAGCTTCTAAGCTTTAAAAAGAAAAGTGACTTTATTCCACCGGGCACGTAGCTCGTGTGCCTATTAGTGCCTGTGTTTCAAAGCAGGCTAGAGTGGCCCCCTCACACCATAAATTGTTGTACAGATACTTTGGAGGTTATTGAAACTATGGGCAAGCCACCAGCCAGCCTTGTAAAGAGCTGGACATAAAAATGGGACCCAACATCTAAATCAGGCTGGAAATGAAGCAGGGGAAAGCCAAGGGCCCAGTTAAAGAAAGAGCTGCACACATGCGAGATAAACCGACGCTTGTTTGCTCTATTAAATCAGCTGCGCTTTCGTTATATCCCACCAGAATCTTTATTTTTCTTAGTTTTTCAGCTCGCTTCGCCTCCGATAAGG